TTTTTTTTTCCAAACTATCCCTTTAAAGTCTAATTAATAACTTCAGAAGCATGAGCATTTTTATGGAAGTTATGGAATGGTCATTTAAATACCAGGCTGTCTCTGTTTCCCTCACAGGCCAGTTCTTAATGCTTCTTTGGCAATGGTTTCCCGCTTCTTGTGGCATGACCCTGACCACATGTTCTGTATCTCGGATATTCCCATGGCATCCTGGGTGTTAGGAATCCTCTGGCTGATCCCGCTGGTCTTTATCAACGAGGGCATCAAACTGCATGAGATCAGGTAATACAACCACGATAATATAATACAATGGTTACACTTTCTAATAAGTCATTAGCAAACAGTATGTAATGCTGTCTAGATCAGTAGTTAATATACCGTATATCCAAATAATAATTTATACTACCATTCAGAAGGTAAGAGGTTTGTTTGTTTGTCTTTAAAGAAGTCTCTTATGCTCACCAAGGCTGCATTTATTTGATCCAAACATACAGTAGAACAGTAATATTGTGAATGTTATTACAATTTAAAAGAACTGTTTTCTATTTGAATAAATTTACTTTATTCCTGTGATCAATTATCCTTCAGAAATCAGTATAATATGCTGATTTGCTGCTCAAGAAACATTTCTGATTATTATCAATGCTGAAAACAGTTGTGCTGCTTAATATTTTTGTGTAAACCATGATACATTTTTTGTAGGTTTCTTTGATGAATATGAAGTTAAAAATAACAGCATTTATTTGAAATAAAATCTTTTGTAACGTTACAATTATTTTAACATTAGTCTGTGACTTTTGATCAATTTAATGTCTTCTGAATAAAAGTAAAATGAATAAAACCACTTTTAATTCAAATCTTACCATTGCTTTTATGTATCATGTATGTTTTAATTGAAATAACATATGTAAAAGATATAATTATATTAAAAATGTAACATTAATGTTTGTTGTAGATATTTATTAAAATATTTTCCATTTAAGCCAACTTTTAAGTAATTTAATTATTAAAAAAACAAAAAGTTATTATTTAAAATGAATATAAATTAATGCCATTGTTAAAGTTTTATTGTGTCATACATGTTAACTATCTGTGGGGTTGTGATTGTTTGCTACAGGATGAGGGTGAGATACCAGAAACGACAGAAGCTTCAATTTGACACCAAACTCGGCATGAACTCCCCTTTTTGATACGTCTGTCAAAAACAAGTCACAAAAATACATACGCACCCTTTCATATTGACACCAGAATTAAATAAAATACAGATTCAGTATTAACAGTGTTGACCTTTAGGTGGCAGTACTGCAATGAGAACAACATTAGCATCCTCTAAAAAAACACACTCTGTAGTCTGCAGATGCTAATTTCATTTTATCAACATGAAGTTATATCACCTTACTTACTTTCAAGTTATTTTACTGCATGGTGACACCTCAATCTCTCATGTTGATTTTTTTTTGTCGCAGTTTAGAGAGGTTAATCTTTCTGATTTTCTTGATTGCCTTTGAATCAGGCAAGTATTATTTTAGTATTTAGTTTTTTAATGACTCAGTCAAGCACATCCTTTGATTAGTATTATACTTTCAGTACTAAGTTTTAAGTCCTTCAACACATAAACACAGCACAGCATATGTCTTTACTATTGTCCATGCCTTCTAATGAAACTCATTTAATATACTGACATTTGATGTTATCATAAAAAACCCATAGCCCAATATATATTATTCCCATTTAAATGTTTCTAAAAAAAATTATAAATAAATAAAACAATAAAATTCCATATAATTGTGACACCCTACAGCTTGGCAGGTAGATAAAATATAAAATCAAATCAAATGAATATAAAATAAAACTACACATATATTACATTTATGTTGACCTTTCGAGCTTGCTTTTTTCACATGATTCCACTTTGTTGAAAATGAGCAAAATGAGACTTTAACTTGAAAACTTCCAAGTCATTTTCAAACCCTATTTGTTACAAGGGCCACCTTGTTATATATTATCCATGTTACTAAATTTTTTAAGCACTCAGTGCTTTACCTTGGTTGACCTTTTCCCATTATGTGCTCGTGACTTACTTGAGGAAGAAGCACTGCAGTGGATCAAACACTTCACGTCACCTATAGTGTTGTTTCCCTTCATTTACTCCACTGAGTGATCACATTGATTTTTGCTCTGTCCTCAATCCATCACACAGGCCTCATGCTAAAACCAGACTATAAAGCCTTTTCTGCAAAATGACCAAATTACATGTGAACTTTGCTTTACTGTAGTAAAGAAAGCGGTGATCCTTATTTTTGGTTCTTATCATGACACGAATATGTGCTTTTGTTCTTTGTAGGCATTTATTTATTTATTAAATGCAAAAGAAATAGCTTTTGGGTTAGGATTAGTCTTTACTAATTATAATTAGATTAATAATCATGTAAACATTAGCATTTGATATTTAAAAAATGCCCAAACTGTAGCAACATCTGACAAAATCTGCAGTAGGGATGTGCTCATTAATAAAATCAATAATGTTTTTTTTTTTTATATATATCTAAAAATTCAAAAGAGGGTTAGGATTAGTGTATAGTAATTATATTTAATCGTTTAAATATTAGCATTTGATATTTTAAAAAATGCTAAAAAAAATTCAAGTTTAGCAATATCTAACAAAATATGCACTAGGGAAGTGTCCATTAATAAAATAAATAATGCCCCCCTCCCCGTTTTTTTCTTAAATTTTTTTCTTCTAGAAATGCAAAACAGGTATCTTTTGAGTTATGATTAGTCTATAGTAAGTAGAAATAGTATACTTAATATAGTCAATGTCAATTTAAATTTTAAGTAAGTCAATGACATTTAAATACGCAACCAGGTATGAGAGCGATCGAAAGTGTGTGTGTGTGTGTGTGTATTGCCCATGTTGCAGTTTTACGGTAATGCAGTCACAGTGGAATACTATAGGCCAGTAACCTGTTTAAATCTATAAACGCTTCTCTCTACAGCTCAAACTCCCACAAACAGAGCACAAAGCATGCACTTGGTTTAATAGATGCTTACATGCACCATTAGCCTGAGCGCTTCATCTCCACAATCATTTGAGGAGTATCCACTTACAGGAAGTCATTTGCGATTAACCCTTTTTCACCGTAATGTTTCTGGGTTTGTCATTCTTATCAGCCTCTAATTCAGATCTTGTTTCTGGAGGGTCACTGTCCTGAGGAGTTTATTTCCAGCCCTGCTCTATCACACTCGACTGTAATGTTCAAATAATCCTGAAGACACTGATTAGCTGATTTAGGTGTGTTTAGAACTAAACTTTGCCTTAACTCCTCACGATTCAGATTGACATTACTTTGTTCTAAAATGGAACATTCACAAAAACACCGAATTTTGTGGTGATGTCATCGCAGTGGTTGTTATGGCAACCTAACCTGGGTCACAAAACTAATGCAGATATCATATATCTGGCAAAGAATCAGATCGCACACAAACATGTTTACTCCGCTATATAAATGGCTTCTGATGTTTTTGTGTAAGTGTATTATAATTAGCCCTAAACCTACAAAAACATTTAGCATGTTTAGAACACACACACACACACACAACATTATTTTCTTTGTTTATGTATCATTCTTTTCCCAAATGAAGACATGTTCTAATGCCCCCAAAGGGAGAATGCCAGATTTGGCTTACTTCAAATAGTGAATTAATGAATAATACTAATTCCCTTCTCTCTCTACGATATTAAAAACATATTTTTTAAAAGTACAGTATTTTATTAGCCAAAGGCAGTACAGTGATGTAATATGTGAAGTTTGGTGCTCAAGAAGAAGAATTTAATTATTTGTGTTTAAAGGAATAGTTCATCCAAACATTAACATTTGCTAAATATTTATTCGCCTTCAGGCCGATCGAGATGTAGAGGAGTTTGTTTCTTCATCAGAACAGATTTGGAGAAATGTAGCATTACATCACTTGCCCACCAATGGGTTCTCTGTAGTGAATGGGTGCCGTCAGAATGAGAGTCCAAACAGCTGATAAAAACAACACAATAATCCACAAGTAATCCATACCATTCCAGTCCATCAGTTAACATCTTGTGAAGTTAAAGCTGCATATTTATAAGAAACAAATCCATCATTAAGGTTTTAACGTTAAACCCTGGCTTCTGGCTAAAATACCAGTCCATAATCCATAATAACACTTCCTCCAGTGAAAAAGGCCATACCCTGTTGTCCTCTCACATCAAATAACACGTTTGTTTAGAACTGTTTTGGACTGTTTTTGCTTGTAAATCATTTCTGATCTCTGTATACTAGTTCAAATGGCATGACTTTTTCACTGGAGAAACCAATATTATGGATATAAGAGCACTCATATTTTAGCCAGAAGTTAAAAGATCATGGTGAATTTGTCTCTTATGAACACGCACCTTATCGCTTCACAGGTGACATCTTTTTTGACGGACTGGAGTGGTGTTTTGCATTTGAAATCACCAAAACAAACACACCCCTACCCAAAAAGGGTCTCTCCCCTATTTTGATAGCTCCCCTATTTATGACATATTGACACAAATTTCAAATGATTTTCAACGGTTGCTTTGTCGTGTCCAGTGTACTAGACAGATTTTAGCTGTTGCGGCTTCTTGCCTTAAGCCTTCTTTTGTTCCGCAGACTTATTCCTCTTTTGTTTTTTATCCGCCATCTCTATCTTTGTGTCGCTCGGCTCGGCTAACGTCCATCCTGTACACTAAACCCTCTCTCCTCCACATCACGAGTAGACACGCCCCTTACTGCTGATTGGCTACAAGTTTGTTTTGCTATTCGGCCGAATCAGTTTTCTAAAGCGTTTTTGAAAAATGGCTTACCCCACCTTTAAACTACAGTACATGAAAAATGTAGAGCTCTGTTTTGTAGGACACACACATGAAAAGTTTGATGTACAGCAGAAATAATTCAACATTATGTTGAAATAACTTCATGTTATAGCGCAATACACAAGATAGTGTTCACTGATAAAAAAAAATTCCCCATCAATCTAAAAAAAAAAACTCCTCTGGAACACCATCAAATGTGGAATAAGATGAATAAAAACATTTTTTAAATGCAAAATATTCTTGCTTTAACGTAACAAAAAAAAAAAAAGACTATTATACAATTAAAATATATGAAAACAGAATTCTAGTATAAGTCCTCGTTTAGATACCAGGTGAATGTGTGCTGTTGTTCTTATACGTTCTCTGACACCAAAACATAGAAGCTAAGAATAATAGCTGATTGGAGACCCAGGCCTGGGTGAAGATGTAATTTAAGGCAATCAAAGGTCAATCTTTGAAAGGTCTGAAAAAAAAAATTTTTTAAAAGCAAAATATTCTTTCTTTAACGTAAAAAAAAAAAAAAAAAGACTATTATACAATTAAAATATATGAAAACAGAATTCTAGTATAAGTCCTCGTTTAGATACCAGGTGAATGTGTGCTGTTGTTCTTATACGTTCTCTGACACCAAAACATAGAAGCTAAGAAAAATAGCTGATTGGAGACCCATGCCTGGGTGAAGATGTAATTTAAGGCAATCAAAGGTCAATCTTTGAAAGGTCAGAGGTGAGAGTGGACTAAAAGTCCTTAGGGATGAGCTCCTTAAGAGCAGCAGAGACAATGATAATGATCTGAGATGACCATATCTGAAGTAGAAGGGCTCAGGTCACCTAATACTGGATAAAGACAAGTCATCTTATGAAACTGTGCCCTCAAAATATCATAAATCTGATCTTTAAGGCAAATGTATGCCGTCAGGGGAGTGTGTGAAAGAAGCTAGGAATGTTTTGCCTGAATCTGGACCTGTTCCTGGGGGAATCCCTGTTCTCTACATCTCACTTTCTTCCGGAAGAAATAAACTGCGTTTGTTAGAGAGAGAGAGAGAGAGAGAGAGAGAGAGAGAGAGAGAGAGAGAGAGAGGGAGAGAGAGAGAGAGAGAGAGAGAGAGAGAGAGAGAGAGGAGTTCTCCTCGAGACACAGAGCGCGTCACGCGTTCAGTAGAAACTTCAGGCTTGTGAGGCGATTGAGCCAAGACGCGCTGCGCTGACCCTCGCGCTTTTCACGGAGTATTATCACACAAGGAGTTTCCTAAACCAGATGTTACTGAGAGTTTTATGCATCATCCTTGTTTCTCGGATCCTTTCATGAAGAAGGGACGTGATGGGACTAAATGTATGTGGGGATTGGGAGCCGCAGTTGAGAGCATGAGCCAGAACGGGCTGTCATTTCACACACGGTAAGAAAACTACACTGTAAAAATGTGTACTTCAATTTACTGTAAGAAACTGGCAGAACTTTACCTTATAAAATGCAGTGACGATGTTGCGAGCAGTAGGGAATGGCATTTTTGGTTGACTCTATAGCTATTTTACAGTATGAAAAAATGATGTGATTTACCAAACTATTTAAGCTAATAAATCTGTTTGCTACTGGAAAATGTAATGATAATAACAAGGACGGGACAATGGAAGGCCACATAATGACTTTGATGTGATAACAATGATAATCATATAACATGGAAACTGGTATTATGTTACACAAAATAACGTCGGTGTAACACATGACACTAAAATATGCATTAAAAACATTAACAGAATAACAAAAACTGAAACCCAAGTGGGCATCACTGTTAAAACAAAAGAGGTTAAACGAGAATGAAATATAAACAAAGCAGGGAATTCTGGGAATTCCCTTGATTGTTCATACTTTTCAAACATGTAAAGCATATTTTCAGTATTATTTATAGGTAAATGTGGGTTATTTATTTCTTTTTACTCTATTAAACCTGTAAAATAATTAATTTGACAGTTTTTACAGTAAAATTCTCATATATGTCGGCCTAGCCTACACCTAGTGTTATGGAACTTAGCAGTTAACAGGTTTTTACTGTAGCCTTTTCACACTATTTTACTGTACAATTGCATGTATTGTCTTTAAAATGTATATTTTTTTTATCATAAATGGTGTGGGTAATTTAATAGCATTTTTGCATTCTTTTTACATTGAAATTACTAAAAAGTTTTACTGTTTACTCTAGATTTGTTAAACTTGTAAGGCTAATGTTAGAAAAAGGGAAATAAAATAATGAAATTAGTTATAAAAATCTGCCAATGAAACAAGAGATGATCATGTCAAAATACATTCTCTGAAATCAGGTCTTAATATACTGTATATTTCAACTTCTTAAATAATAATAATTATTTTTTTCATTTTTATTCAATGAAGGAGTATTTTTTATCAACAGTTTTACACTCCAGCAGAGATTCCCGATATAGAAAGTTAAATTATTAACTAATATATTTCCAAGCATGTTTGCTTATTTATAGAAGCCCTGCCTGTTTCGTTATTTGTCATTGATAGACCTTATTTCAAAAACTGTTCATAAAATATAACCAAGCAACTCAGGATTTGTTTATTTTTCAATTTGCTGTACTGCACTACAACAGTCCAATTTGTGCAATTTGTGAGAGAGAGAGAGAGAGAGAGAGAGAGAGAGAGAGAGAGGAGTTCTCCTCGAGACACAGAGCGCGTCACGCGTTCAGTAGAAACTTCAGGCTTCTGAGGCGATTGAGCCAAGACGCGCTGCGCTGACCCTCGCGCTTTTCACGGAGTATTATCACACAAGGAGTTTCCTAAACCAGATGTTACTGAGAGTTTTATGCATCATCCTTGTTTCTCGGATCCTTTCATGAAGAAGGGACGTGATGGGACTAAATGTATGTGGGGATTGGGAGCCGCAGTTGAGAGCATGAGCCAGAACGGGCTGTCATTTCACACACGGTAAGAAAACTACACTGTAAAAATGTGTACTTCAATTTACTGTAAGAAACTGGCAGAACTTTACCTTATAAAATGCAGTGACGATGTTGCGAGCAGTAGGGAATGGCATTTTTGGTTGACTCTATAGCTATTTTACAGTATGAAAAAATGATGTGATTTACCAAACTATTTAAGCTAATAAATCTGTTTGCTACTGGAAAATGTAATGATAATAACAAGGACGGGACAATGGAAGGCCACATAATGACTTTGATGTGATAACAATGATAATCATATAACATGGAAACTGGTATTATGTTACACAAAATAACGTCGGTGTAACACATGACACTAAAATATGCATTAAAAACATTAACAGAATAACAAAAACTGAAACCCAAGTGGGCATCACTGTTAAAACAAAAGAGGTTAAACGAGAATGAAATATAAACAAAGCAGGGAATTCTGGGAATTCCCTTGATTGTTCATACTTTTCAAACATGTAAAGCATATTTTCAGTATTATTTATAGGTAAATGTGGGTTATTTATTTCTTTTTACTCTATTAAACCTGTAAAATAATTAATTTGACAGTTTTTACAGTAAAATTCTCATATATGTCGGCCTAGCCTACACCTAGTGTTATGGAACTTAGCAGTTAACAGGTTTTTACTGTAGCCTTTTCACACTATTTTACTGTACAATTGCATGTATTGTCTTTAAAATGTATATTTTTTTATCATAAATGGTGTGGGTAATTTAATAGCATTTTTGCATTCTTTTTACATTGAAATTACTAAAAAGTTTTTACAGGTTTTTACTGTAGCCTTTTCACACTATTTTACTGTACAATTGCATGTATTGTCTTTAAAATGTATATTTTTTTTATCATAAATGGTGTGGGTAATTTAATAGCATTTTTGCATTCTTTTTACATTGAAATTACTAAAAAGTTTTACTGTTTACTCTAGATTTGTTAAACTTGTAAGGCTAATGTTAGAAAAAGGGAAATAAAATAATGAAATTAGTTATAAAAATCTGCCAATGAAACAAGAGATGATCATGTCAAAATACATTCTCTGAAATCAGGTCTTAATATACTGTATATTTCAACTTCTTAAATAATAATAATTATTTTTTTCATTTTTATTCAATGAAGGAGTATTTTTTATCAACAGTTTTACACTCCAGCAGAGATTCCCGATATAGAAAGTTAAATTATTAACTAATATATTTCCAAGCATGTTTGCTTATTTATAGAAGCCCTGCCTGTTTCGTTATTTGTCATTGATAGACCTTATTTCAAAAACAGTTCATAAAATATAACCAAGCAACTCAGGATTTGTTTATTTTTCAATTTGCTGTACTGCACTACAACAGTCCAATTTGTGCAATTTGTATTCCTTGCACAGCAGTTGGCCTTAATTCCAAAGTTTATGTTTCTAAGTTTCTACGATTTACAGTTTGGTCTTTAGATTACATTATATGCATGAAAGTAATAATAATAATTCTGACAAAAAATAGGGTTGCCATTGCCAGCACATTCTGCATGGACATCTAAAAACCCTACTGCAGGGAATCAACGTCAGTTTTGGCTCCACTCTAGTGATGGCCTTAATGCTAATGAACAGAGAGCGTGATTGATGTTCCTCTGACTTACCTTTTGATTAAAGGAACTTTCTATCTCTTAATAAGCTATGTTTTATATATATTGAGGTATTTACACACTCAGCTGTGACTAACCCTTCTGTGGAACACAAAGTCAAGTGGGTTTGAAAGAACATGAGGGCGAGTAAATTATTTTTTAGATGGACTGACCCTATTCCTATGCAGAGAAAGCTGAATGCATAATGTGCTTAAGTAAATATTCTTAGGATGGAGTACTGGTATATGAGTGACGTTCCCATCAGCAGGGTCGCATTGCTGCCCACCATTCTATCATCATGACCACCGGTGAGGACACAGAACCATCCCTGTGGCCGGATCGGGCCCAAACCAGCCTGACTGCACCGGCTCCGGCTGATGGCACATGCCTCGAGGAGACAGAGGACCTGCCCGGTGGCCTTACTGGAAGTGGCGGAGCATCTTGGGAGTCCACTGGCAGTGTGGCAGAGGTGAAGGAGAATGTGCAGCTTCCATATCCCTCCCTTGCACCAGTGGTGTTCTTCTGGCTCCACCAGAGCACACGACCCCGAAGCTGGTGCCTAGCACTTGTGTGCAGCCCATATCCTTTCTATGAGTATGCTCTCACTTATTTTCAGTTTAGGATGGTATATTGGCTTGAAAGAAGTTGCATTTGCAGTATTGGCACTTACAATGAAAATAGTGCAAAACTTTATCATCAGTATATAGTCAAAAATAATGAAAATAACAATATTTGTGTTAGTTTATGAATTAAACTGTTCAAATAAAATAGTTAGAAAAAGACACATAAATAATCATATTTATTAACTAAATATTAAATACTACATCATCATCAATATATAGTCAAAGACTGTGCAAATGAAGTTTATAATAAATAAGTGAACTAAAAATACTGCAAAGTTTATACATTAAACTGGTAAAATAATAATATAAAAAAGCACAAAGCAAAAGTAATTTTCAGTTCAATAATCACATTCATTATATATCAACTATATATTATATGCAATATATTAATTGTCAAAATATAGTCTATAATAGAATATACATTAAATATTGAATAAAGGAATATAAAATACTGTAACGTACTGTAATGTATTTTTGTTTATTAAATTGCTAAATAAAATAACAATTACTACACCTTGTTGCAACAAAAGTAATTTTCACTTTCAGATTAGCTATAAAAAGTCCTGAGGACCACATTCTCTATATATTAACTAAATAATATATACTCTATATTAGTCACCGTCAAAAAATGTGCAAATAGAGTAATATAAAAATACTGCAAAGTGTAAATAGTTTTAGTTTATTAATGAATTAAATCTAAAATTAAATAATTATACCTTTATACAACAACAAAAGGCATTTCAGCTTCATGTTAGGTACAAACAACCCCTTAAAGCTATAATCATATTGTTTGTTTTTACAGTATACAGTAATTAAACACTGGCAATTAGACATGCTGTGCTGTTAGCACACCTCTCCCTCTCAGTCTTTATCTGGGTGGAGAACTGCTTTTGTTTCTGTCTCACTCATTCATTGTTGTCCCTCTCACTTGGTGATGTTCGCTGTGGCCGTGAGCCAGCCTCGCGCTGATGAATAATTGCTGCATGCAGCATGGTTTGTCCATATTGTTCACCTGCTTCTCCCCTCTGTGCAATGAAAAAATCATCAAAATGTTCATGTATTGCATTTTCTTAAGTTCTTAAGGGGCTTTGAGAGGCAAGGCAGCCTGTATGCGAAGAAAAAAATTACGAGAGAATTCTCCATGTTGCGTCATAAAATCCATCCAGGGAGCTTTTCTTGTGCATAAAGTTATGACACCAAAAAATTATATTCATAACTCAAGTCTGTGCATATCTCACAAGAATTACCCTAGAAATTACCATAGTAGTGTCACTCTGTCCCTTTAGTGACATTATTTGACTCACAGCAGAGAAACAAAGCAATTTGGCCACGTTACGTAACCGCATGGTCTTCCCCGTGAGGGGAGTATTTGCGTCTCATGTCTCCTTTCATGCCCTTTGATGTTAACCATGAGACGTGAGAGTATGATTGTGTGTGATTTCATGCACTTCCCAGGTTGTGAAGCATTTGTCGATTTATTTTCTGAAGGGAACATCTTAAAAGGACACAGTGCTGAGGATGTGTGTGCGGTTGAAAATATTAAAGAGATAGTACACCCAAAAATGAAAATTCTGTCATCATTTACTCACCCTCAAACTCTTTCAGACCGGTTGAATATTTTTTCCTCTGCTGAACAGGTTAGGTTCAAAATTATATATTTTGAAGAATGTGTGTAACCAAACATTTGATGGTCCCCGTTGACTTCCATAGTATTTCCCCCATACTATGGAAATCAATGTAGTCCATCAACTGTTACCTAAATCATCTTCTTTTATGTTCAACAAGAAACTCATACAAGTTTGTAACAACTAGAGGGTAAATAAATGATGAAAAGGAATTTTAATTTTGGGTGAACTCTCATTGTGTATTTGTAGAATGCACAGATATTTAAATTTTCGGAATGAATGTAATGGTTGTCAGGTTCTGAATCAGGTTGGGATGATGGTTGACTTTTTTGCTCTTTCACTATTCACTGAATGAATGATTCATAGTTTGATATATGAGGAAGAGTGAAATCTCAACTACTTGATATATGATAAGTCCATTCAGCAGACTGAAAAACATTTGTGTTCTTACTCGGATCTTAACAGATTTGGCAGATTTTTGCTGTTGTCTGTCAGTAAATAAAATCAAAAGTTTGCTGCATAGAACAGTAATAGCACACCATTACTCAACAAGCCATTCTTTTTTGAAAAGATAGTTCACCCAAAAATAACAATGTCATCTGGGCTTGAAATGAAATGAGGATGAGTAAATGAAAATTCAAACTATTGCTGTAACATTTTTAGTATTTAATAAGTGTAAGCAAGAAGGTGCAAAACATATTCAGCGGACTTGGTTTCGGAAGTATTTTAATGATTTTTTTAAAAGTCTTTGTTCAAGAGTTATAAGCCATAAACCACCTAACCAACCTGCTACAAGGTGAATCACAACATTACAAATGATGATTTGAAGCAAAAGTGTAGGCTAGGGCTGTCAAAATGGCTTAAAAACTAAATTCAAATTTTGTACTTAAATATTATAAATATTCTAATTTAAAATGCATAATTTCAGTTCGGGTGAAGAAAAGCTTTTGGCTTATCTGAGGAAAATATTACTAATGCACATTTATTCAAAGCATAAGATAACATGACTATCTGTGAAAAAAGTGCATAATGTTTAAAATAATGTTTATAAACCAATTATAATTAAGTTGCTTAAACAACTATAAACAAAACAGCATCATGTATGTATGCATAATTTAATACAAAGGGTATTGTGTATTATGTGAAAGCCAATCACACAGAGTACATTTTTTATTTAAAAACACGAGTTGCAATGGGATGGGGAAAAAGCCTGCCATGAAGTCTCGAGATATGTTTTTTCAAAGTTGAACTTGCATTAATTTTACATGGCTTTCTAAACATGCGGCTCTTTTGTGCGAGACGCGAGTGCAACGGTGATAGATGTCCCTCTAGAAAATGTGCAAAATATGCGTTCTGTGTAAACAGCTTGGTTTCAGTTTTGACGTAAACAAGATCTTCTCTGCATTGATGTTCTCTTTTCACGCAATATTTGTAAATAACAATGCAGCAGAGCTGCATCTAGGGGCTTTAACTGGATAGGCTAACAAAAACATTAAAATACAACAACACTTACATCGTCATTGCATCTCGTGCGCCACTGAGGCTGCCTCCTTAACACACACCTAAAATTCGAATGCAACGTTTTTGCATTCAAATGTGGATTTTTATTTTAATTTCGACGAATATTCGAAATTCTAATTTTTTTTGAAAATTGGACAAAGGTGCAGTCATGATGGAAAGAACTATAATCCTTTGAAACATTGCGAAAGACATAATCGAATTAAAAACGATAAAGAAATATAAAACTAAAGATTTAAAGATTTTGTTTATTGCAAAATATGCATATATATACACAAATATTTAAGTAGTTTGAGAGCATTGGGAAACTACACCATTTGCAGTGCTTCATCAGAGATGGCAGGTGCTAAAATGTTCTTGTGCGCTTTTCTTGTGGCAATTCTCAGATTGGTGGTGCTTTTTTGCTGAATCATGGGTAATGTAGTTTTTCACCAGGAATTCTGCTGTTAAACATGATTATTTCAAAAACAAGATGAAGTAATGTACACATATGGCTTCAACAAAAACATATCATAGCTCACAGTAGGTCTGTCTTTAATGGTTTGTAAGTTCGTTAAAAATAAATTCCCCTATGGAGAAAATTAGATTTTTGCTTCTGGAACCCGACTGTTACACTCTATAGAATTTGTGATGTATGTCGTTAAAAAGTACCACTAATTATTGGAGACCACTGTCCTTAACAAAGAAAAACCTCAGCTCTGTTCAGCACATTTGTTTTTCAGCCCGCAATAAATATCACAGTAAACATTCATAAACGGAGAAATCAAACATTTTCTATAGGATATTGAATTAAACGCACACATACAGTATGCAGGTATGATGCATGCATGCTCAAGATAACCAGCATATCAGAGCATGCATATGTGAAATTGTGAGCTTCTAGTGTTATATTTGACAGGTTTTAATTGTTTTATCCCATATGTGGTTGGTTATATGTGTTAATTGAAACCTGGATTCCTGTGTGCATATGTGTGTTTTATTCCTTAATTGCAAGGGCAATCCCACGGGAAGCCCGAATACACATAATCAGAAATAACAAGCCAGAGCTCGCCAATACCTGTGTGTATGTGTGTGACTGTATGTCCATGAGGATAACAGAGACATTGAGAAAGTGAGGGAATGTCAGATGATGACATTAAGTTCTAGGGAGATATGACGGCATTTATATCTCAAGTGTACATGCGTAAATATATATATATATATATATATACACACACAGACACAGTCCCCAAGGAAACTCTTAATGACACTGGTGCAAAAACTTCACTGATTGGTTGATCTCCATGGCTACTGTCACTAATGAATCTCCGGGGTTACAGGTGCTTGTCAGCGCTGTCAGGGTAACGGTACTGGTTTCCAAGACAACAGGAGTCACTAATGTAAGCTCAGAGTTCATCCGCCTCAGACCGAGAGAGAAGGGAGAGGAAGTGATGAAGTCGGAAAGGAACACTGACAAAAATTTGAAAAGGAGAACGTCAAAAAAAACAAAAAACCTGACTGTTCAAGACAATTATTAACATTTGGAGCATTTCTATTTGTAGATTTTATATAATTTTTTTGCATTTGTATATAATGTGTTGTTTGTTCTAAATATACAAATGGAATAAAAGGGAATTTCAGCAATTGTCACGATTATGTTCAGTTTAGTTCCGTTCCTGTCATGTCTGTTATGAGCTCTCATTACTTACCATGGTTTCTGATTAGTTAATCCTTGTCCAGCTGTTCCTGTTTAGTTCCCTCATTTACCATGTGTGTATTTATACTCCTTATTCGAGTCTCTTCATTGTCGGTGATTAGCTTATATTATGTGTGG